ATACGTCAAAATCAAGTCTCCTCGAGTTCGGCGGTACTGAGCAGAATATAGTCCCAATGATCGCAATCTATCCTCCTATGACAGGTATTGGAATCCCTTGACCATCTTGGTGGCCATCCTTTGTGGACGCTCAAGCATCTCGCCGAAGTAAACTGACATTCTTCATAGCAGCAGACGAAGCCTTAGCACAGTTGTTGGAGCAGCGTAAATCCTCTCAACAATACCTAAGTCCTTTTCGCTAGAAGTATGTGGTGGCTGCTGGTCCCCGAGGAAATGCGAGAATTTCCGCTTGTGGCGTAGGGATAGGACTTTGCATTTAGAAACATTAATTTCAATGTCGTTCTCTTTAAACCATTGATAAGCTGCGTTGAGTGATTTCTGAAGTCTTTGAGAGCCCTCTGGTTCCACTCTCAACCATGCTGAGGTTTTGGTGGCTCAGATCCATGCGCATCACGATGCGTGCAGCAGGCATTCGGGCTTTTCGTTACCAGCTTTGAGACCGCCAAGTATTCAAGCATTGTCACTGATCGTCCGCAATCACTTCTTCGATGGGAGGAGACCCGTATATTCGTTAGTTGCCGCGTTAATGTTCGTTGTTCTGTCCGCTGCTTGGTGATACTCCCGATAGCGTGAGCTTCGCTGACCGTAAATACTATACTATCCAGCATTCGGGCGGAAAGAATTCTGCATTTGGATATGCGGTAGTTGTTGTCGCCCCTTTGCCTGCTAACGAACGATACAGTGTATCAATATTTGACATGCTTTGCATTTTGAACGTGAAAAGGGGTTTTGTGGGACTGAGTTGATTCAGTTCCAATTCCAAACCGATGATGAGGTAAGAAACTGAAAAGATTTCCTACTTAGGCACTTGGGTATCATTGGTCGATCGAGCTTCTGGTGGATTTGCATCAGATATTCAGAACTTCCTTCTATAAATAAAACGAAGAAGGGTCGAGTGTGTTCAGCAGGAATTTGATCATTTTGACTTTGTGAATTGGGGCATTACGGTTAAAAGTAGATGATGCAAAAAGATCCAATGTGCAGACAAGAGCCTTAAGTACAATCATCAAATGCGGTGACCATGACCGCTGCACTTGATTCTGTCCAGTGTTATTACAACTCACTCGTTGGTAACAGACTAGACTATCGTTTGCTCTTTTTACATGTGCATCGATGGATCGATAACGGGGCAACGACCGACTAAGTTACTGATAATAAAAGAGTAAACTGATGTACGATCTTAAATTCTTTTCACTCTTCTGCGGCTGTGGACAGATTTAGTGTCACCAGTGTATTGCATAGTTGTGATGCAATTAGGCATGCGTACGAGATAAGGATGTGTTTTCTTCCCATCGCATGTGTAAGTGATTTTGATTTGCTCTTTTCCTCACAGCTCTGTTTAATCGCGTGTGCACCCGATGAGCGTCAGAAACAGGCTGTTTGGTTGGTAACGTCCTATATATTCATATGCGTTTTTCTTTTTCCTGCTTTCTTGATCTCAGCTTTTTGGTCAAGCCTACATCTCTGACGATCTCTACCTGTCCATTGTGGCTACCATATCTTCCCTGTTCAACTCTGGTGGCCGTATGATCTGGGGTTCCTTTGTTGATAAATACTCGTTTAAGGTAAGTGGATAATTATATCACCGACTGATCGATTCACTCGACTTCCTCGTAAAATCAGACATCTCATCGCAAGTTGCACAGATAATAACAATTTCCTTCGTTTTCCGCGCCAATGTGGTTGGTCGCCATTGTTCGTGTTTGGTGCGAAGTAAATAGTAGTAGTTAGCT